TTATTTATCTTTTTATTTCATCCTTATTTTATTTCTTATCTTGTAACAATATTTTGAAATAAACTTTTTACAATTTTCGATTATTGTTAAATGGTGATATTGCAAGGTTAATTAACAATTATGACTTAATTTTTGGGCTATTCTTGTCATTTTAATTCACAATAATTCGGTGCTTGTCAATTAATTAGTTTACGACTCTTTCTTGCACCTGTGAGCACACTTCATGTACCAAATAATTGTAAATAAATCAAGATGGCCCTTTGCAATGCTATAAAGTCCCTTTATTCAATTTGTTTCAGTTGTTTACCCTTGTTTACATTTATTAGCCGATTGCAAGCTCGCTTTGGTTTACTTGCAAAACAATTCAAGTAACTTGTTTAACAGCCTTACATTTATGATTACAATAATACTACCAGTATTTCCGATTAACCTTTGGACAATACTTCATTAACACCCACTAGTTAAACAACGTTAGTCCAACCTTTGCTTACTCACTAAAGCAAATTACGTTACTAATTGTTATTAGCACTCACTAGTTAACCCTAACCTTGCTTACTTGCTCACTAAAGCAAATAAACATGGCCTTTTACCAATGCTTCACGGCCGTTACCTTTTACCAAGGCACTAACTACACTTGTTGCTTTTATCAAAGCGTTTTAAACAAAGAAAATAAAGACAATGTTTTTATTTTAAAAATTCATTAACGATTAATTTTATATGAAAATAATTAATTCTATCGCAGAGTTTTATTTTATTGAATGTATTATTTTCCTTTGCAAAGACCCGAAGTTATGCTTTTTTAAGCGTCAATAATAATTGTGACTGACAATAATGACAATGGTGATAATAATAATAAACATTAACCATCAAAAAGTATGTAGTAATATTCACAATATCTGTTGAATCCAAAGGTATCATTTGCCATATTTATTGCTTTTCGTCCTTCAATATATACCTATTCTTTATCCACCCAAAAAACCCCCTGCACCTGGGCGAATACCAAATATTCTGGTCCAGATGTTTTTAATAGATTTGATTTAACTGATTCGCATTCTTTTTGATTACAAGTACAATATATTCACCAGTAAGTAAATTTATGTATACTATTGTTATTTATTGGTACGGAATTTTGATCTTGTATTGTTGCTGCTGTTGATGTTGTTGTTGTTGATACAGTCAAACCTTGTCACAGCAGGTTATAATTAAATTCTTGTCATAACGGATTTTTATGTTTTTATATGTTAATGTGGTAAGATTATAATTATAATTAGTAATCTTGCCATAACGGATTTAAGTAAAGTTTTCTTACGTGTCCCGTTCATCCGTCGTGACAAGGTTTGACTGTATTGATATTGTTGGCGTTGAAGGTCCATATTTGTATAATTTTTATCATCAAAAATGTTGGAATCAACATCTTTATAAAAACCGTTAGATGATGAAGAGACAAAATTTGGATCTTTGACATCTTTATAAGCTAAATTAAAATCTTCATAATATTTATAGTTGGAGATTTGATTTTTATCATTACAGTATTATTATTGATTTAATTGTTATTGTTTTTGATTTGGAGTTTGACGGCTAAAATTACTATTACTACTGTCACAATTGCCGTTGATGTTCTTTGGAAATCTAGAATTGTTATTATTACTATTATCATTACCATCAATAACATTAATATTTTCAATGCTATTATTATTTTTCATATTGTTTGGAGAGGAGATACAGTAAATGCAGATTAATATTATTTTAATCCTACACATCAACAGAACTCGAGAGTGTACATGATGGTAATTTATCTCGAGACTTCGAGTACTTATTGAGATAATAGATAGTTTTACAGAACAAATGATTTTCATATTCATTTTTTCATCTATGAAGATTGGGTACTTGTCGAGATAGTATATGGTTAAGATAAAAGAATTCATGATAAGATATACAGTCAATCCAAGTGCAACCCCCTTGGGAATGCATTTAGAGAGGGTCTTGCATTTTAATTAATATATCTTTCGTTTTCATGAATGATAATTATTATTATCAGATAAGAATTTAAGGTTAAATTTGTACTGTAATAACAGAAGTTTTTTTTTATTTTGTTACAAAAGTAATAATTGTAATTGGATTTTAGCTATTAAGGTTTTGATTCCACGTCTTGCTTGTCCTTACTCTTACAATATAAAAGGTATCATCACCTACCTACATTCTTATTTTATTATTTGCTATTCCGTTTTCTGCCATTCTGTTTTTTTTTGCACCTATTAAAAAAGAAAAATTCATTAATTGATGGCCATTTTAATTATTTAACTTAACTCTTAATTTTAACTTCTGCTTTTTTATATTTTGTCGTCATTATAATAATATGGGAGGGCTTTTTAATAGAAACTCTAAAAATGATGTTTCGAGAAAAATTGAAAAAAGAGATTTATTATAAGTTATTATTATAAGTTATTATTAACTTCATAAACGTAAAATCCCGATAATTGATCATTTGGTGTTTAGTGATCAAGCCGAGGCTCATTGTCAAAAACCTAAGGTTTCTAGAGAACATTATGTTGTACATCAAGCTAACAAGAATGCAGATTTAAATACTGAAGAAGATCAAACAACTCAATATCAACAGCAGTAAAATAAATAATATTAAAAAAAAATTTAAATTACTATTTATAAATAGAAAATTGAAATAAATTAATAGTTATTGATTAAAACAAAAAAATATGTCTATAATGAGTTTATTCTACAATTCCAAATTCTTCTCTTTCTCTGCCACGTATAGAAGGTGGGTTTGATCCTTTAGCGTATACATTAGTATACAATTCTGATTCATCAGGTAACGGGTCACTTTGAGCTTTTTTAGATGCATCTTCAAGAATTGTACGTGCTTCTTTTTCAATTTGCTAGTATTTTAACAGCAAAAAATATTTAATTGATTTAAAACAAAAAAAAAGTCGTTTTTTGAGCTTTAAAATATTATAATTATTATGATCACCTTAAGTTCTGTTTCTGTAAGAAGGCCTAAATCTATTATGAACTCCTTCAGTTTGGTAATCGGATCATTTTTACTCCTCATATGTTGAATTTCTTCTCTTGTTCTATAAGTTGTACCAGGATCTGACATAGAATGACCACCGTAACGATAAGTAACCATCTCCATCACTAAGGGTCCTTTTTCAGAAACAACCCAATTTTTAGCCCACGAGCATGCATTTTTAATTGCAATTGCATCCATACCATTAACCTAGTTGTTGTTTTTAATCAATGTCATTCTAAATAATTAAGAAAAAAAATAAACTTCATCGATATAATAAATACCACCAACCCTAATGCCAGGAATATATTGTCCACGAGTATAATATTGTGTATTTGCAGAACCTCGGCTAGCAGACGTTCCCATTCCATAAAAATTGTTTTCACATACAAAAATGGCTGGTAAATCCCATAATTTGGACATATTGTAAGCTTCAAAAACTTGTCCTTGATTAGCTGCACCATCTCCATATAAAATAAATGTGGCATTATTGGTATTGTTATATTTTTGTGTAAATGCTATGCCCGCACCGACAGGTACCTAGCGTAAAAAAGCATACATACAAATGTGTAAATGTTCTTTTAAATATATATATATATATATAATAATTTTTATAATAATAATAATACCTGTGCACCAACAATTCCATTACCACCATAAAAATTTTTTGCAAACATATGCATAGAACCACCTTTTCCTTTTGAAATGCCGGTTTTACGACCTGATCATAGGATAAAATATGATTGATGAATTAATCAATTAATATTAAAGTTAAAAATAATAATATTAATTACCCGTAAGCTCTGAAAGAATTTGATGAGGTGTTGCACCTCTTACCAATGTATAACCATGGCATCGATAAGCAGTTATAATTGCATCTTCCGGTGTCATAGCTGCTTCCATACCAACAGATACTGCTTCCTAATTTAAAAAATTAATGATATATGTTTGATACTAGTAGTATTATTATATACTATTAAAAATTTTTTAATAAAACAAATAAATACATACTTGGCCTGTACATAAATGACAAAAACCTCTAATCAATTTTGATTTATATAGACCATCGGCAGTAACTTCCATTCTACGCATTATTACCATTTGCTTGTACATGTGAACTATTTCCTCTTTGGTTGTTTGAATTTCTAAAGACGGAAGTTCACATTCATATCCTTTGTATGTGTCTTCAGGAAGAGTATACTTGATAGGTTCTGAGGCATAGTTTCTAACAAAGTTTTTTGAAAATGAAAAGGATGAAACTAGAGGTAAACGTGTTCTGAACATAGACAACATTTTTTTTTAAAGAATATAATAAAAATCTTGTGATGATCAACAATAGATAAATTTCATATATGAGGCATGCATGCTTGCAACAAAAACCAGATAAAGTGAACATTGGTATTACCAAAAGAATTTCAGGGATCGATATTGTTTTTAAACTAGGCAAAAATAGTTAAGCTAATTTACATCAGATCTACTATAGAACCCAAAAATTACAGCACCATTAAGGAAAGAAAGCAGAATGAAAATGTGCTATTACCCAACAAAAAACAGAAACCTTTAGAAGAAGGAAAATAAAATACAATGAATATTATTATTATATATTTATCTATCTATTTTTTCTTTTTAACAATATAAATCATAGCAATTATAAAACCTAAGATTAAAGTCATACCTGCTATTCATAACCAAATAGATTTACTATCAAACTTTTCTTTATTCTTTGAAATATTGTTTTTATATTCCTCAGCAGCTTTGGCAAAATCTTCATCTTTTAAGTCTGGAACAGTGGTTTTAAGGTGGTAGATATTGGGAACTTGAGTATTCCTACTATGTTTATAATCAGGCATTACATAAATTTTTTACTGTATTTTCAATAATCACATGATTATCATCAATAAAAATATCAAAGTCTGGACAATTCTCTTTTATTCACTCTCAGCAATGGGGTGAATTTCTTTCATTATGTTTATTTATTTTTATAAATTTCTATTCTAGTTTGTGGAAAGTTCTTTGAAAGATTCCAATTTTTCTTAAATCTCCTTTCACAGGGTGAAAATTTGTTTTGTCATAATCTTTTAAACCTTCTCAGAAGGAAGAAATAACAAGCAATTCCTCAACCAAATTTTTCACTTTTGAACCCAATAATAATTCTTTGAAAACAGAAAGATAAGACATTTTATTATAAAACTCAAAGTCTTTTTTAATTTCAGCATAACTCATTATATTTTTGAGAATTGCTCTTTTAAAACTTTCCAACTCTTCTATGTTTATGTTTAAATTGTTTATTCCATGACTTCGGAAATCACCCTGCATTTTTTCCCCAAAAAATCTTGAAAAAATCTTCAAAAGAAATAAAAGGAAGAAGTTTATACTTTTCACAAATTTTATAATTTATATATGAGTTTAAAGGCTGTAAACACTCATCTCAATCACAAATGATTTTCAAAGGACAACCCTTCTCTTGGGATTTTTGTTTGATTAGTTCATAGAGAGAATTGATATTATTTTGATTCATGGCTTTGGACAAGTAATATCTTTGTATTCATCTTTCACAAATGGTCAAATATTATTATAAAGGTATTCTTCTTGCCTTTTGTAACCCAAAGGTGGTGATGTTAATACTAAAATGGATAAAGCTCTAATTTCTTCCAAAATATCTGCTTTCTTGGTTTCAATAAAATGAATTCAGTAAAAGGATCATTAACAACTTCTTGAACTTTCACTGTACTAAAATTAGATGCTTCAAAAAGAAAATGTTGATATTTTTGCAGACCATTTAATTTTTTAAAATAAATTCCCAAAATTGATTTGATATCCAAGTATTAAAAACCTTTACCTGCTTCATAACATTGAGCTTTATTCAATCCTGCTGGACTAGGTCTTTTCACCACCTCAACCGCATGGTCCAGACAATCTATACTCTTGTTTTCCTATAGTTTTTTAATCAATCCAAAACTTCCATCAAATTTGAATTTGGTATGTCCAAGAATCATGAAATTTAATTCAATACTTTCATAATAACCACAAATTACCAAGTATAAATAAAACCAAATTGTTACATTATTTTTATTTTGTTCACCAGCATTATCACAAGTAATCTTTAAATAATTTTCACCCTTATTCAATTTCTTAATTCCATCAAAAATCATGCTAAGAGTTCCATTGGGATCTTTTCCTATAATTTCATCTTCATTAAGAATGTAATTAATTTGTTCCCTTACTGCCTCATCTTGAATACCAAATAAATGAACTTTACATGGATTATAAAAAATAAAATACAGAATAGGTACAGAATGCAAAAAAGGTACATAAAAGACGTATAAAAGGTGTGGAAACAGTTCATGTAACAAAAACAAATTTATGCCTTTTATACATCTTTTCTGTACCTTTTTTGCATTCCATACCTATTCTGTACCACTTCCATATTTTATTTTCTATATGGTCATATTTTTGTTTCAATTCCACATTTACAAGTTACTATAAATGACATCATGGAAAAAAATCTGGATTGCTTATTTGCCAATTGCTGCTTTTATGAAAAACTGAATTTTTATGGAGTGATAACCATAATCATGGAGAAATAATGGAGTGTCATTTTTTACAGTAGCCCTATAAAAAATTTGGTATGAAAAATGTATGGAAAATTGTATGGAATTTTACCTGAAATTTGCATTTTTCCATACATTTCTGTACCAAATTTTTTATAGGGTAGAATTGCATTTATTGGATAAAACATTGTAAAAGTCATATTACTTGTGTCACCGATTAAATTTGGGAGAGCTTATTTTAATTGGTGATAACAATTATTTTTGTTTTGCGTGGATCAGAATG